AGTCTCGTTCAACGTTGCTACGAACTAAAAAAACAGCCTATGTCTAATTTGCCTTTATAATTCCGCTTAGCGCTTCTCCCACAATCAAAGAGAGGCCCGAATTCCTTTCAGCAAATCGCCGGTTTGGGGCAATTTGTGACTCGTTTTATGAAGCCGCTGGTCTGGACCGCCCGATGCAGCAAAAACCGATTTATAAACCTGTCTCGACACAGGACGGTTACGTGAACTTTCATATCTGCTGCATCGCGGCGGTTCCCTCGACTGCCACAGCTGATGGCTGAAAACTTAAAGGCCTATTCTCAAATTGCAGCACCGCAGGAACGCCTCATAGTGCCGTCGGGTTACAAAAACCTTGACAGAATTTTCAACGCAGCGGAATAGCGAAACATTTGTCACTCTGCAGTTCCATCTCCTAGAAAATTTTCAAAATGTCGAGTTGGATGAATGGGTGAAGCAGTGTTCTGGAAAGATGCAGGAACCGGGCAAGACGAGTGGAAATTGCAGAAAAGATGACCAACATAACTAACCAAAACTAACCAACATATGCTTAACATGCCCTGCATCAAACGTCTCGCTGAAAAAATAAAATGGATAGATAAAAAATACAACATAAATACTATCTTCAGTTCGAACAGCGGTGAAATCCAGTCTGGCTGCCTCATGGACATAGCATGAGGTGGACAAAAGCTAAAATCATCGGCAAGGAATAACACTGGGGGAAGCAGCAGTTATTCACCAGATTCTCAAGGGCTTAATCAAGCCCATTTGATTTACTATGAACTCAGCTGTAAAACATAAGGAAGACGACTGGAGGTACTCACCAACTTGAAAAGTTGTGACAGTAAATAATAAGGACAATTTCCAAAATATTTTGAGTTCTCTTTCCCTTTCATCGTCATACAAGTGAATCATTATGAAGCAGGAAACACGGCTAATTGAAAAAAACTGTTTCTGCTTATGCACGAATTAATTTAAGCTTCGCTTTGTTACTCGCGGTCAAGAGCCAGTTCGCACATTTGCGGACACTATGGTTTGGAAGCGATGGCATATTTTTGATAGATTTTAGGCATGTTGTTTTGACGTTTGCCAGTTCTAAAGATCAGTGTGTATCACGTTGATAAAACTTTTTTAGTCACTGATTTAAATTGTGTGTATTGATATGGCTGGGACAATTGACGACATCTATTAGTGAAAGCGGCCCTGGTCTATCATCCTACTTCAGTACCAGGTACATAAGTAGTGCATACAGTATTTTATCTTGTTTGTTCCTTTTGTGGTACGACAAGAAAAAATACATAATTACTAAATATTATGGAAATTAACAAGTATTCTGTTAGACGGCCAATAGTGAGAAAAGCTGATTTGGTGCTGCATAGCCAAGGTGAAGTTTTTGCTGCGGCATAGGACGCTTTGCTGTGCTGCCACGTCGGAATCGACCTTAATGTTGCAAAATCGCTCTTACGAAACGTGTATACTTTTCGACTTTATGGTCAATGTCTGTCCATTTGGCAATGATTTTATCTCAAATCGCAATCCGTTCAATCTCACTGTGTTTAACATGTTTTTTCGTGCGCGTGATTAACTGGTACACAACTTCGCCTCCTCGCCGATGTAAATTTTCGAACGACTGGTGTCTCCGTTTAATAGGCTTTCACGAAGAAAACGATTCGGAGGAAATATGCGTTCTAATTATACACGTATGGAATGATTCACGCCGTTCTTTTCAAGCGCGTGCCTCTTAATTTGATTAACTATGTTTTTTTTTTTTAATAGACAGACTAGAAAAAGAATACAATGAGGGTATAGGTACGCAATTATTACTAGACAGAGTACGAAAATTAAAAGTGCAGATCAAAACTAAGGACTAAAGATCAAGATAATGTTAATAGTATAATAATTCTTCCCTATCTTGCCATTATTCTTAAAGCGTCTAATAAACTAATCAAAACTTTCCAATTTTGGTACGATCTAAGAACTAGCGTTATTATTTTTTACAAAAACATTTTTCAACAACGGAAAAATAAAATTAATTATGATGTTTACAACTAAAATTACATCAAATGAGGAAAACCATGACTGCCCATGTGGCTATTAAGGTTCATGATGAAATGGGTCTTTCCCAAGCCGTATTGCAGATTATGCCGTATTGAACGAGAAACAATTTAAAAATTTAGTATTTGCCAAACTTAGTCTTAAGCGACTAACAATCAGATATTATTTTGCAGATAATTTTAAGTAGTATTACAATATAATAAATGAGCACTACTGCTATCACAACAGAATATTTCCATCTTACAATATACAAATAGATTCGCCAGAAAACTTGCGGATGTCAAAGATAACATTGTAGTTATTTATAGTTAGACGGTGTGGCCTGCTCAACAACTGCGTTTACAGGGACTCCTAGTTTCCACACTTTTGCAGGGTATCTGACTCATTAAGGATAAAAAGGTAGAAAGATGGCAAGAACGAAGTTTTCCTTTCCGTTTTAGTAATACAGTGTCAGTATCTGCAAGTATCTTTCCTATTTAATAACTATTTTATAAGTTACTGATGATAACTGTTCCCTATATCCTCCAGAATAATACAGGTTCTTTTTTTTACATAACTAACTATCCAAAAGTTTAAATAACTAAATTAACTACCAAAAATCATATATAATTTTCGAAATATCTCAGCTCAACAATGTCAAGAATTTTTTAGAGTGACAGGGACATTTCTGATTTATTTATGGAAGAGTCGCGGTATACGTAGTTTTAATCAAAGTGCAGCAGAAATCTTTACAATCTCTACAATAGAAAAAAGAAGACGAACCGCTCGGGGCAAGTGGTCGGCACATTTGTTTTGAAAGTAAAACTTAATTTTTTTTTCGTTCTTATTTTTATCTTGTTCGTTTATATAATTGGAGGAGGCCTGTTCTCATTTAATTACTTAATATACCTATATAAGTCTTGCTGAAGTCATTTATATATTGTTATTTGAAGATCAAACAATATTTTCTTTAAATATTTGTTTAAAATCAAGTTTACAATACTCTGGCCTTTTTAAAAACCTTTTTCGGCAATCATCCTGCTGGCTTCTTCAGAACTAAACTGTTTCAGTTTATTTCTAAGAACTAAGTGTAACTAACTTTAAACTAATGACAGATAAGTGTAATAAGAGATTACTTATATTTATTTCTCAATTTTTCTCAAGTTTTCCGTGGGTAAATCTTGTATTAACGGATACTCTGTGAAATCATTTTAATTGTGTATTCATTAATTTGTCGCCTAAATGAACATCTTTTCAAGAGAGCATAAAAACAAAAAATATAGATTTGGAATAAGATATTTCATTGTTTTGTCAGGAGCTAGTGTACTTTCATCGCAAATACAAACAACTAGTCTAACAACATTACACCTTCAACAAAGGTAAACATATAAATTATCGTTTCGGTGGTGATGAAGACACTAACCAAAGTAAATATTTGGGGTGCGTTACAGCATCAAACACTCTCTTTAAATACAACTGATTTTAACATACACTTGAACAATCCCTACAAAAGCGTTATATCGACTAAATCGGAGACTATTAGGTTATCAATACGTACTTAAGATCAAGAAATGAAGGCGGTGTTCGTTTGAAATATATGCTAGTAATTTTTAATATTAATTCGAAATTTATTTGGAAATAGAACGATAAAAACGTATGCCAAGCAAAAGAAGAGTCTAAATATTTAAACAAATTTAATAGACAGACTAAGTAAAAATTGCCCCTAAAGTGAGTTTGGAGCCCCTCTGTGTAGAAAACGAACAGAATTGCTGCTCTTTTTTATAAATTTCATTCGTGTCTCTCAAGAAGTATCTGAATAATATCACGTTGAATATACAGAGTGTTCGAAAAAAGCGTAATGTATCGTATCATAATTTTTCGACTAACGACATGACGAAATTAAAGTGGTTTTGTTTTCATAAATAAGTCAATTTTTATATTCTTCTGAAGGTACCAAACCAAAAGAGATGTAAATTTAATTATTCTCTGTATTTATATTAAAAACATTTTCTTATATTCAATTTTTTTCCCTTAGTATACAAATTTAGGAAGAAGTTAGTTAATATTTTCAATTTTAGATCTACACGCAAGTTATATTTAAAATGTTGCTAGTCTATAATTTAGAAATTAGTTAAAATTTTAGGATTTTAGTTAAGGAGCAATTTATTTTACTCCGAAGTAACGCTTAATAAGCATCAAGGATTCACGAGCTTTTTTAATGTTAATAGTGGTTTTGGACAATAATTGTTTTTTCAATGTAGTGCTTGATGTAAATGCAAATGTAACTCTGCTCCCGTAAAAATTATGGATGGAGGAGTTAAAAGTGGTTGCGCGTGCCTAAAACTGTGTTATAGAATACCGGTTATTTAATAAGATTAAAAACAAAAGCCTTCAAAATGTCAAAATTGTGGCGCCAATCTCCTATGTTGAGAGTTTGCGAGAGTTTTAGTGGTCGTAAATATTTTTCTATGGGTATGAGTGTTAATATAATAAAATATAATTGTAAATTGTAATTATGCCTGCTTAAAATGTAACGCATATTTTAAAGCTGATCGGGTCTCTTATGTAGCTGCAGTGGGTGCCAAATTTATAATTTTAGCGTTTTAATTATTTAATTTGTCAATTTTTCAGGATATAAAAATAATACATAATAGAAACTTAAAATACACATTAAAGCATAATCAAGTTTATTTCTGTTTTTGAAGATATTTTCTTTAGTTTTATCGAACTTAAAAATGTGTGTGCATTGAAACAGCTTCAAATTTTTGCAGTAAGCTTTCCTTTCCAATACTTAGAATAATTCCCGGTTAAAAACGCAAGCTGGGCGTTTTAAAACACGCCACAAATCACATAGCAGACTAGCGACCGTTGCGTCCGTCAAATGTCACTTTAGTTAGTGCCGATTTCGACGTTGCGAAATCGCATCGAAAGAAATAAATTAAAAAAAAAAGGGAAAACAGTTGACTTACCACCGCGTCAACGCTCGTCACAAATACAAAAATCACGAGGGCTACCAGGCCGATAGGCCGGCAAGCAGCCGGTCGTCGCTTCATAGCATTACTGGATCCATATTTTCTAAGTAACTCTCCGAGCATGGTAACTCCCCACCTAAACGACTTAAGCTACCGACGCGCCGGACCCTTTTAGACTCAACTTACACCCCTTAGGGTTAACTCTATAATTTGTTATTTTCACCATCGGGCAAAAAGATATCGAGGAATGTCCTGTTCGAATTTCAAGACGATCGAGCGAACAGTTTTCGAATAAACGACACCGAAATGTAAGTGACGGAAGATCGCGCATTCGCCTGAAAATGTGGTAGTGGCGACTGTCGGCTCTAAGATGTTGGTTTCAGTAGTGCTTTTTAGTAACGCACGGACTCGCGTGTGTTCATCATATAAGGTAGGAGTGCTGTGTGTGTCCCCTATCGGGGGTTGACGGTCGAAATGACCGACCATGGACTCCGATGGTAAGTACCTTTTTTTTCGTCAGTCGTACCTTTAAATTTGACGTTTTCAAAACGGCCCGGCTTAGAGTACGGCGTTTTCGTTTCGAGCTTTAATTTCTTACTTCGAAAATTTTCCATTTTTCCTCGAGATTTGGTCGTTGTGGTTCAGAGGTTCCGACTAATTGTCACGGAAATACATTTCCTTGGTATTGAAACTTTTAAATGTTATTCATCCTCTAGGCGATAACTTTTTCTTGACGCAAGGTGAATACATCACAGACCGCGCGAATTTCGCCCGAGTCCGATACTCAAATTAAAGAAAAATACTTAAACTTGGCAAGAACGCTCCCACTTTCCTGCGGAATTCGTGTAAGCTCCAATTTATATTTTACATCAGCGTTTCGCATTGGAATAATGCTGATTTCGTCAAAGTAATCCCGGCAGTGTAGTTTGCCTTATGGTTGCAAAAATATATTCCAAAGTAATCCAAAAGCTAATACCGCTCTGTCGTTGGTATTTATTCCAACTTAAATCTACCTATCATAACCATGCCTAGAAACTTTGGGAAAGGTCGTTAAATATGTCACCATTTATTATTGAGATAATATTTGCTATTTAAAATGAATGTCTATCAGATTTAGATTATGCTGTAAGAAAATTTGCGAGAAAAGTAACAGATATAAATTATTTTTACACAAATGACGATATTGGATTTAATAGGTTGAGAATAGTGAAGTTGTTCCAACTTATTTTATATGTGTGCAACCTACAGTTATATACCATTGCTTATTATTATTTCTATAAATAGCAACTTTGTGTTTTAAGGTTTACATTTATTGAGAAGTGAGCTTCGTTTAAATATGTCTCAGAATTTGGATTTGTTGCTTACCAAATGAAAGTCAAAGAAGATTCCCATATACAAACTTGTATTAACATGTTTCGGTTATTAGTTACAAAAATATATTTACAGCTCAGCTGATATAAAATTCAAAAGTAATTTATTCAGAAATTTCAGAGAGTTTACAAGTTAGCCAGTCTTCAAGAGTTCTGTGGGTTATCTCAGTTATCGGTTAGAAGGTCATATTTTGTAAATCCTTCATATATTTCATTGCTATACAGAGCGACTCATTAATAATTGGAAATATTTGAACGGTAGAACCATGGGCTAAAAATATTAAGTTCTAATCGAAACGAACTGTTATTAAAATTGCTGTTGTATTTAGAATATAAGAATGCTTCTTTTTAAAACCACAATTTTATTAAAGTTTCATTTTATAACCTATAGCCTCAAACTCCATATAATTAATAAATTACCTACATATTAATATTAAAAAAAATGCGTAATTTTATGTTTTACTCTAAATATCTCGCGAAGAATTTGGAGAGAGTAAACCAGCCACTTGTCCCTTGGTGGTTCGCCTGCGTGCCGGGCAAAAAGATTTCTTCAATTTTTAAATCAGTAGGAAAATACATTTTAGTTCTATTTCTGAACCTCCCACACAATTATCGCTGGCACAGGTTTTAAATAAGCAGTGTTGTGTTAAACCAAGAAAATAAAATATTAAATAAAAAGAAGCAGACCAAGAAGAAAGAGAAAAGTCTTAATACATTTTAGGTCGTAGTAAAAAGTATACCAAACATTATCTATTACACATAGTATACAATACTGCTAAGATATTTTTTAATTACTATCCACATTCAGAGAGGAGACAACCATTTAGAGATATGTTTCAAAGTCTTACGTGCTTGTTATCAACAGAGCCGCGATGTCCCCGGTGATCTGCTATTCTAGCCTGCTTTTGATATTCTTTTTAAGTATTTTGCCGATTTAATAATGCGATTTATTTGCTAGATTTATAAAGTTCTGCATAAATTATTATATTAAATAAAATGTCCATTAATTTTAACAATGCTTCTGATCATTTTTACTGTATATTTAAACTTCTTGAAATTAATTTATAAAAACATGTACAGTTGAGAGTAGAGTACCCAAAAAGGTACATTATTAATTTTTGTTCTGCATAATAAATTCTTAGTGAGAAGTGAAAATTTTGCCAGTTATATCGTTCGCTTTAAAAAAGTAGGACGGGATTGCCAAAACCGCATTCTGGTGATAATCAAGATAACAAGCAAAGTTGTGAAAGAATTGACACCCTGTACAATGCTACATATGTTCCATCCATTTTTACATGGAAGAAAATTCGGTAAGGTCATACGTTGTTCCCTCTTGGTCCGGATATTTGAAAGCGTGGGACATTCCGACGCTAATTCGTTATCACTGTTTTCCGCAAATAATGGGCGCGAGATAAATAAGAATTTAATGAATACTTTAAAAAAATATATATTGTGGTGCTTTAGTCTGTTACAATTTTTTTCTTAATATTAGAGAGCATATAAAATATGATAACAACTTAATTACCCTTATTTTGAAAAATATAACCAAGTATAATTAAAAAAGGTTATTTAGAACAAGAACAAATTTTCTTTTAATAATTATTTCATTATTCATTATTATGGAAGAATTGATACTGCCAGTTTTGTCTCCAATGCAATTGAAATTGAAAAAAGTATTAATCAAGTCAAAATTCTCTTTGTGTTTTGAGAATACAATTATTTTATAATTAGTATTAAAAATAACCACACTGTATATCAAATACTAAAAATAATATTTTTTGCGACGTTAATGCACCACACTGTATATTTATAATATTGAAATTGCATAATTTGAAGTGACAACATTGGACATAAAAATATTTTTACTTTACTTACCCATTATATCTTTTTTACGGTAAACTTATTTTTATGGACCGTTAACAATTTATTTTAGATTTAAGCATAAGAAAATTTACTCAAGCATCTTAAAACTTGTACAGAACACTTTAATTTTTAACGTTTATTTTAAAATATAGGTGAGATTTGATATCGTACTAATAAATTGTAAAATATTTAAAGTTTTGTACCAAATATACCAATGCTGCGTTAATATTTCGACTCATTTTCTGATCATTATATATTTGATAAATCATTTTCGTGATGGAATTTCGTGTGGAAACTAACGCTTCGGATGTCAACAAACAGTAATCAATAAATTGAATTTACAAAGATATTCGGTTTTCTAATAGCTTTTACCTGATGGCGCCGAGGTTGCATTAAATTTATTGCTGATTTATCGTTAATTTTTGTAGTTGTGAATCGCTGAAATCTGCTACTTTTTCTCTAGTTGTTTATTTTTGTGATTCTTGATGATGGAGAGATAAATAAATCATTTGTCAACCCTCATCCCGATAAGCAGATCATATTTTAATTATGATTAATATTAGGAATCGGCACTTTTCAGTGACAAAAAGGGACCAAAACATAACAGCACCCGTTGCTACCTGCTACGGCTTTACCAAGAACTAGTGACTGGCTATTTTTTGGAACATGTGTTGAACTGGGCAGTGTTTATGGGATACCGTGCAATAGAAATGTATAACACCTGTATCTTAGGAAGCTCATCTATATGTTAAAAAATAAATTTTAACCATTTACAAAGTTTCCGTAATATGCAAAATATTTTAAATTAAATTTAATATCAGTGTTTCAATAACAAAGTCTTACAGTTCCCAGTCAGTTTTATCGCTCATTAGGCAATGGTTGATGCCACATTCATTCCATTCCCAGACCGATATGTCAAATCAATCATATATGGTTCAAATCATCTTATGTCGGATTGATTACATGTGACAATACTTAATATTCTTCACAAAGAAACCGACAACCAGATGGGAAGAACGAAGATCATAGATATAGTTTATTGCACCATCTATTCACATGCATGATTGTTCTAAATTTATATTTTTTCAGGTTCATGGTCCTATGTGCGGTAGTTTGGAAAGTTAATGCGGTAAGTAAGACTTTGTTAAGTGAATTTTTATAATTGATTATAACTTTCATGTGAAAAATTTTGGGGAGTGAATGTATCGGTGTTTTGAATATGTTTATAAACAAGGATTTATTTGCAAAACGACTATGTCTTAAAATCATTGATATGACGATTACGCCGGTGCCCTTGACGTTTTTCATTTTATGCTCTTTTTTGTCCAGAGGTGTTCAGTTTTCATGTGATTTATATCACTTACTTGCAGAGATGCAGTTTTCAAATTACTCTTTTTTTTTACTTACAAGTGCTGAACAATGGAAAATCTCATCGCGTTATACTTTTAAAACATCTCTAAAGAAGATTATAAAGTGAAGTTAAGCCGATCGACTTCTGTGGTCAATTTTCACATTCATAATAACGGCACAAGCGTGATAATACAATGGCCATGACAATTTTTTTAATGGAACTCCCTATACTGGGTGATTCACCGTGGATGGCAAAATCTAAGACCTTTCTGAAAATTTGGTCGGTGACGACTTTTGCAGTTTCTTCGAACTAAAGTTTTAGTGGTATTTGATTTTGACTATAAAGAGTGTGGATGGATAATGAAAGTGATAAGGTGAACATGTTTTTTGAAATATTTTATATTTTTTTCCCTATAAGTTGACGTCGCATTACAATTCAAACATCTCTGGGAGGACTCTTAATAAGCAAAACTAGATAGGTGGTTCCAAATATATTTTTGTATTGCCACGCTATACCTTTCGATTTCATGGAACACATGATAAAACAATTTTTTCTAAATTGTGCGAAATAAGGGAGATATTATATCTTGCGCCACCCTGTCTATGAACTAAATTATTGTTTCGACATTTTTCTCCTCATACAATTTATTTTTTAATTCCGGTCGCTGCATTTACAAAGCTTTGGCTTGTACAAATAAAACTTTTTTTATGATTAGCTGTGATGGTTATGACGTGACATAATTTGTAAAATATACTACGGCTTAAAAGTTGCCAGTCATCGTGAGATGGCGCGCTCGTCTATAAAAACTTCTTTTATGCCCGTACCGAAAGTTATAAATAACTCGAAAGCTCAGATTAGACCGAATAAGTTTCTCGTTACTTGTTTCTTATCTAGATAATGTTCTGCATTATCTTTCATATTGCTGCGTTGTTTGATAGAAATGCATTGTTAACTCAAACCAAAATTTATATTGATTCCATGTAGCGAGTGTACTTGCCTAGTTTACACCTACAGATTTGGTAGCTTAGAAAGGTCGGCATTTCGCCACTATTAAATTAAATTTATATTTTTCAAAATGTTGACAAAAAAGTATTTTACTTAGCAAAAAAAGTACTGATTTTTGGTGAATTTTTGAAAATTGCAGGATTGACAATTTATATTTTAAGACGCTCACACTAGAAATTGTGTCTCGATAAGTATAAGCATTATTTGTATTTTAGAGCCGGCAGTAAGACATAAAAAAATACATAATATACTACCTACTGCACCATAACAGTATTAGGATCCATGTACGAGGTGTTGTTGTTAATGTTGTCACTTCTTTTAAGCACTGGTATAGCCCGGATTTCTTCCAGCGATTTTTTTCTTTATCTCCTCGATCGTTTCAAACAGGAGAAAGTCGCACGGGGCCATATCCGGTGGATATTGTGGCTGAGGCATAATTGTGGTTTTGTTTTTGGCCAAAAAGTTAGACACAAGCAACGATGAGGGAGTAAGTGCATTATCCTGATGCAAAATCCATGAATTGTTTTTCCACAATTCCGGACGTTTTCTATGTATTACTACTCGAACTTGGGACGGCTGGGCCTTGGTTTCGACGTCATAACCATATACCATACAATCCATCACCATTTATGATCTTTTGGTCATCATTGACGTCGTTTAACAGCTCTTGAGCGATGCTCCTTCGACGGTCGAAAAAAATTGCATAGCATGGGCCAATAGAGATGCCGATGTCTTCAGCCATTTCTCTAATAGTGATTCGACGATTTTTCAACACCAACACTTATCGGCCATCTTGGAACAGCCTGTACCACTTTTTGATTTTGAATGTCTCTGCTCAACATTTTTTTATTTTGATTTCAAAAGTATTATCAGCATCCGTTTTAAAACATTTTGTTCTGTTAGCAGAGAAAGCAACAAGAACGTTTAATCATTTTTTTTAATATTTGGACGTGTTGAACTAACGGTGCCAAAATCTTGTAATTGCCGAGGCGGTTTTTCAAAAAATGTTTTTATTATTTGTTGACGAAGTGCCGGTAAAAAAAATACAAAATTGAACCAACTCCGAAAATACTCACTTCAAATGTTTTTCTGGACAAACTGCACCACGTTAATTAAAATATGCATACATTAAAGATTTAAAAGCAAGCCGGCGCAATTTTATGGATTTTTTATTTTTTTTCTCAGTGATTTATCCACTGAATAAACAGCGGCAATTTCGGTTTATAATTAAAGAACCACCCAGGAAAGTTCGTTTCACAATTTCGCCATTATAAGAACACGTTGTATAAATTATTATGAAACTTACTTAGCGGTCCCTTTTTCTTATGTGGCGTATTTATTCCGTCTGTTAGCGGTGACACAAATTTCGTATTACTGTGCACTTTTTCGTCCGCAGGAAAATAATGGTATAATTTATTTCAATTTTGAAAGTGGGAAAGGGAATAATAGCGTCTACTTGAATTGGAAAGGAAGTTAACATTTTCACTTGCAATAATTTTTTTTTCTACTTGCTACTTTATCTTATTTATGTTAGTATTTAAGACGTTGATGAACTTCTTTAATCGCCCGTTCATTAAACAATACTTATATTATTAAAAAAACTGGTAAAATAAAAGTAGACCAAGATAAAATCCCTGCGGCACCTCCGAAGAATTCTTCAAAGAGAAATTTCCGAATACTGTACCTTTAAAGAAAAAATTGCTGTAATTATTATAATACATGAGATGGACACAACACAGAGTAACTGACATATCGACATTTTTAATTTTACCAAACAAAGAACAATAAAATTTATTTAAAATCCTAATTGCAAAATATCTAAGTCTACTGGGATATCAGAAATTAATTTCCCTTCCACAAATATATGAAATTCAAGGGACAAAACAAAACGCGACATGAGCAAAAAAGTAAACGGGACAAATTTAAACATAACCAAACGTTATAATATTTTATCAATTTTACATTAATTTTTAATCAATTTTCACAGGTTCCTACCTCATGTGAAAATTGTCTTTCGCACACGATTGCTTCGAAACGTACCATTTTCCGCACTAGTTACTAAATATGATGTCGTAGTGTTGGTCGGCTAAAATTTGACTCATTCGGATGTTGCTCGTTACTGATTTAACTTCAAAGTTTCCAATAGTGTTAACATAATACCTATAAGAAAGATACAACACTTCACTTTTGTAAAACATAGTCAAATAAGTTATTTTAATACAGGTTATTAAAATTACTATTTAGGTTTCATCTAGAATTTCCATCCGGCGAAATTTTCTAGTACCGACAGTATCTGCGTGTTTTTGAATAAAGCTTAACAATCGCATTTTTCCTTAAAGGTTTTTGAGAATATTGAGAGTATTGCGATACCGATGACAAAAACCGCACATCTAAGTGGTATTTTTCCAGCTTACGACCACATCTTTACCTGTCTCGACGGTTCATTTGGGTTTCTCATTTTTAACGTCGGTCGAAGTTCAATTTAGACTAAGTTGTAAATTAGGTAAATAAGAACGTCATGTGACGTCAGCTAGGCAGCTGACATCACATGACATCGCATTTTGATGTCGTCATAGGCATGACGTCGTCAAAATGCTTTTTGGGCGGTGACAGTTAGTTGCTAAGCACTTATTTGCGTGATGGTACAGAAAATTCTAGATGTAATCCGGAGCTCCCCAGGATTCCGACCTGAGATCACTACTTTCTATTAATTGTATCAATAACTCGATGTGTTTTTTTTTTAAGTAGCGAAAATCGAATTATTTAAAAACCATCTTAAATTTTATTGCAAAGTTTTAAATTGCATAGATTTGTTACTTAATGTGACGGTGACTACATGGATTTAAATATTAATAAATTATATGCTTTATCCTATAGTGTATTAACTATTTGAGGAATGTAATGAATCTTAGTTATCTTTCGCATGTTACTGCACCTTTTAGACATTAAAAATCCAATACCAAATACTTAATGAGTCACTTTGAGTGTGGTCATTTGAAGTATGTTGCTATATATATCGGTTTTCAAAACGTCCTTCGACATCGTCCGATTCCCAATTTCTATCGATTCTCTCCATTGTATTATATTTCACTATCGATGCCCTCTCTCCAGCTCTTTCTCGGTCTTCCCCTCTTCCTTCTTCCTGTAGGTGTCCAGGTGAGTATTTGTTTAGGCAGTCGCTATTCTTCCATTCTTTGGACGTGACCATACCACTTTAACTAGTTTGTTCCTATTTCGTCTGAAATCGTGTGGCCCACCTTCATGGTTGTGCGAATTGCTTCGTTTGGGACTCCTTCGGTTCTTGACCTTCCTGTCGCTCTTCTCCAAAAGTCCATCTCTGTTGCCTCTAGCGTTCTCATGGTTCTTTCTTTTAGTGGCCAGACTTCACTGCTGTATATGACTATGCTTTTAATGATCGTATTGTGTATGAGGTGTTTGTTTCTTCTCGTGATTTTTTGGTCCCACAAGAAGGTGTTCAGCATAGTAATGGTCTTTCTGCCTTGATAATTTCGTTCTTTGATGGCGGAGTCTAACGTCCCACTGCTGGATATGTACATTCCCAGGTATTTGTAGGTTTCGCAGCTTTTGATAGTCTGGCCATCCTCTAAGAGGAGGTCGCGTTGTGCTCCACCGATACACATATACTTTGTCTTTGGTAAGTTTACTTCCAACCCCCATTTCTTGTATTCTCCGATCAGTTTTCGCGTCATGTGTTCTACGTCATCGTAGTCTTGCACCATTATGACTTGGTCATCTGCGAAGCTTAGGGTATATGTTTTCATTGTTAAGGGGGATGCCCATAGTTCTGCATTTTTGCTTCCATATCCTTAACGCTATATATATATATATATATATATATATATATATATATATATATATATATATATATATATATATATATATATATATATATATATATATATGAACAGGGTGGGGGATACAGAACACCCTTGTTTGAGTCCCTTGTTGGGTGTAAATCCATCGGACATTTTTTGGCCGACCTTGACGTTAATGTGGCAGTTTCTATATAGTTCTTTCACTGATCTTATTATGTTGACGCTTAGGTTTGTCTGGTCTAATGACTCCCAAAGTTTTGTTACCTGTATGCTATGTATGTATGTATGTAGATCCACGAACAGGAGATGTATCTCCTTATTGAAGGCTGTCATTTTCTCGATAAGCTGGGTGACGCAAAACAAATGGTCAACGACGGATCTTCCCGCGCGAAAGCCCGCTTGTTCTTCTGCTTCACTGTTTGTGTACTCACGTTCTATTTTGGCCTTTAATATTTTACCGTAAATCCGACCGATTGAGCTCGTCACTGCGATACCTCGATAGTTGTTGCAGTTTTCCTTGTTGTCCTTTTTGGTAGATAGGGGTAAGGAAGGATAATTTCCATTCTTGTGGGGTATCTCCGCCATTGATACAATTTTGAAAGAGCTTTGCTAGATGTTCATACAGTTTGCGTGTTCCATGTTTGATTAATTCTGCGGGAACATTACCTGGCCCTGGTGATTTTTTATTTTTTAAGTTTGTGGAAATATCTTCCACCTCATTAATGCTGATTCTGGTCGGTGAAGCCGAAACCTGTATTATGCTAGAGCTATTATGCTATTATGTCGTCTTCAACGAACTGTTCTCGCTCCTCTGTTAAAAGCTTACGGAAATATTCATCCTATTTATTCGTTGTGGCGGGAGTTACTATCTCTCTTTTTGTGTTTTGGCGTAGAGATTTCAGAAGCTTCCAGCTTTCATTAATTTTTGTTCCTCCCTGGTAGGTATTTATTTTGTTGCATTTTTTTCCCATGATTCGTTTTTCTTCTGGGTTCTTTTTCTTCTTACTTGGGATTGTGCTTCTTCGGAGAATATCTTGTGGTAGCTTGATTTGCTGGATAGGTAGTTTGGTACTTTTGTCTTTTATCTTCAATACCTTGTTTAATTTCCTCGTCCGACCAATAGGGTTTGTTAGATTTCCGGTCTTCGCATTATCATATCGTTTCTTGGGCTGCTTCTTTGTAGTATGTTGTAGTATGTTGCTCTAGGCTTAATGTTCCACCCCCATAGCTTACCATAAATTTGAGAGCGAGTTCCTTCTTCAGTCTTCAGCGCCATAGTTTGATTATTTTTTATAATATTCTCCACTCCAGGAAGGAATTCCTGCACTTCTTGGTCTAACTGAATCACCCGTATGAAGAAAAAGAAGTAAAGAAGAAAAGTTATTCTTTTACTAACGGAGCAACGCCATTATCGAACCCACATTGTTCACAGAAAAGAGAATTCATAATAAATTTTGCTTTGACCAGAAATCACTGAATGTTTCTAGGTTTATTAATAACTAATCATATATATTCTACATAGTTACTGTTGTGACACTAATTATAATTGACCCAATTAATTTTATTTCATTGTATAATATTGGGCTTAAACTTTTCCCATTTAAGTAAACAAGATAGTAAATAAAATATATTTTATTAAAATCAACCATTAGATATTAATTGATATAATTTTTATATATCGAAAACAAAGAATTTCATTATACTTTTTCATATTTTACTGAGCGGAATTTACTTTAAATTTTTGTCACTTCAACTTCAAAACGTCTATATATAATTATGCCAAGAAATAAACTTCTGCGCTTTCGCCAATTATCAACAATGAAATTAGCGGCGCACACCAAACTTTTTATTCTAGTAAAATAATATTTTAAAAAATTCTTGCAATAAACACATATAACACATTATTACATGTGAGTGAACAAAAGTATTCTGGATTTGAGAAAAAAAAAGACACATCATTATTAGCATATACTGATATAATAAACAATCAGTGTTAAAAAAAGAATGAGATTAGTGGATTAGTTTGACCAATCTATAAATAATCGTAGACCCTGTCTAAAATCTCAAGAAAAAGCATCCATTTAGTAAAGGCTAAGGATTGCGGGAATTAGTACAAATTAAATTAAAAAAAAACGGGCACTGGGCCAAATTTATTTTTGGGCCAATTTTTAAATGGAAAGTAAACAAAAGAGAATGAATCGGACACCTGTGGTGGTATAATATGTGTTAAGATAAGCAGGTATAAAAACAGATTTTCATAGTAATCACATGACTTTTTATCGATGTAATTGTTGGAATAGCGGTCGTCTTCCTGATTACAACTTTATAATGACACAATTTTAAAGGAGCAATAGAGCAATTTTAATTTATTTTACGTTCAAAAATTATCTCTTTTGTTTCGCCATTTTCATCAACAAGTATTCATAAACGGTTCTGCATGCGACACCAGCGAAGTGACTGTACAAAAGATTATACAAGACAAAATTCTTATCATATGAAATAAAAAACAACTAGGCATTTGATAAGAAATGAGAGCTCGCCTTGGTCGTAACAGCAGCCTCTTTAAAGATTTTTTTAATGTTTAATTAGTAAATTTTCAATAAATTAAATTTGTAGTGCCTTTAAGCGTTTTATATGTGGTGAAAACGCAATTTCAATTTTTTGCATCGTTTCAAATCGGGTAGAACAAATTGCCACAACTTTTTACTGAGAGAGTCATAAAAAATGTATGGGGCTAAAAATCATAATATTTAACTACGGTTGATCGGAAAACTAACATTTTAAGTAATTTACTTAAAACGACGATTCGTAAATTTGCATTTAAAAAATAAATTTTGGATTTGCATAAAAAGTTTTGGGTAGTATGCCGAGGAAGCACTTAAAAAAATTCATTTCCTGCTTTGTACCTATACCTGCATTCTTTCAAAAAATGAGAATCAAAGCATCAGATGCATAGATCATTGAATTAATGTTTACTTAATTTTTTTCAGCAATTTTTGAGTAGTTATCCCGCCGCAAATAGAACGGGACTATACGGCAGGTCCGACGATCTAAATTATTCAAATAGAAACTATGGAAAAGCATACAAGAGCGGAGATAACGACGAGAAACCTAATGAGGAAAATTACTTCTCCAGCGAGTACAGCAACAATGTTTCCGTCTTTGATGAAAACGGAGAGAAAGAAGACAGGTAAATTTTATTTTTCAATTAATTTTCTGTATATAATTGGAGCATCGTTTTAAAACGAATCAAATAATACTACAATTAATTAGAATGTAATACTTAAGAAATGAGGTACATTAGATTATTTGATTTTATTTTTTTTAAGATAGTGTTGTGAATCGATAATTATAATAATAATCATAAATATTTCAGACTGCTGCTAATTACTCTTGTTATGCTCTTTCTACTACCACTACTATATATAGATCAGTATTTTGAGTATATAGCATTGAATTATATACAATATAGCAATAATTATCCATCCACGCCATGCCGGCCCATCCCGTATATTTCGGCTCACTTTTCGGTTAGTTTATATGTTGTTGTATAACTTTTTTTTTAAAGAATTCAGTGCCGGCTCAGACTCACCTTATTTTTCTTTACAATTTTAAAGTAACCAAAACAACCCGATTTTTAATTTACTTTGAGAATTGAATTTTCAAAAGTAAACAGTATAGTTTTATATAGGTACCTAGTGTAAAAGACAAGTTCAAAATTAAACATTTTGATTAGTTATCAAATGAAACAGGTGCGAGCAATACTTTAAATTGCAACAATTTCTAAAATGCATCTGCATTTTAAAAGCGAAACGGCATAGACAAATTATTTTTTACCATCTAGCTAAAAACCTATCTTGCTCACTTACAAAATTAATCCAAAATGTCGAACTCTGTACTTATTATTATTCCGTCTTAAAGAGGTGATCAAGATATTGAACGAGCTTCATCTTCCTTCAATTCGGAAAGGCCCAACTTACCACATAGGAACTACGGATCTTCAGCTTCGTACGGCTCGTCAGGATCCCAGTTCAATGCTTCCCAGGGAAGCTACGAAACTGGAAGTAATAGGTTTGATTCCACAAGCGGCAGATATGATTCGAGGGGTGGTAGATACGATGCAAGCGGACGATACATAGGAGGAAGTTACGACGCTTCTAGAAGTAGTTACGGGCAATCTGGGAGTGGTTACAATGTCGCTAGGTCAGAGGGGTCTTACGAATCGCAAGGAGGATACGCCAGTGCAGGATATTCGAGTACTGGTGCACGGAGACCGTATGCTAGCAATTTCGATATCATTGAGGCTCCTGGTAATGCTCTGGGCCCTAAAGATGGGAACGAACGATGTATACCGAAGTGCTTTGCCGAAAAAGGAAGCAAGGTAATACTTTGATGAATGGATTATTGGATTAGTTTCAAGATTAAGTGTGGGCTAGGGCTATCGTGGTCTACCTGGCCGTACTGGAGAAAAGGGCATACGCGGATTTCCAGGAGAAGAAGGAATACCTGGGGAAAAGGGGGACAGAGGAGAACCAGGTCCGACTGGTCCAAGAGGACCAAAAGGCGACAGAGGCAGAACTGGCCTGCCGGGTTTTCCGGGAATAAATGGTGTTCCTGGTATTCAAGGACCGGTAGGGCCAACTGGCCCTTCGGGACTAGATGGTTGCAATGGGACTGATGTAAAGAAATCCGTTAGTGTTGACAAAATGCATTTTATCATTTTTTTAGGGGCTACCAGGTATGCCGGGTTTAAGTGGTGAACCCGGCCCTAGAGGTTATCCGGGTCCTACTGGTAAAAAAGGAGTGAAAGGCGAAGCAGCCCATTGTGAAATAAATTTGAAAGGTCAAAAAGGAGAACCCGGACGAGACGGCGTTCGCGGTCCTCCCGGCAATCCCGGTCCTCAAGGGTCTATGGGACCGCCTGGTTTTAAAGGAGAACCGGGTATTCTGGTATATTACTAATATCCTAACTTGGATGGCTTTTAAACTTTGTAATACTTATTTCTAGGGGGCAAGAGGACCACCTGGACCAAAGGGTGAAAGAGGTCCTGTAGGTCTAGCTTATAATGGCGCCAAAGGTGAAAAAGGAGAATTGGGACCACCTGGAAATAAAGGAGAGCCTGGAGCAAGCAACTTAGTTTCAAATGGAACAGTCCAAATAGGACCAAAGGGAGACCAGGGATTGAAAGGCGACACGGGGCCACCTGGTATTCAAGGCCCAAGAGGAGAGCCCGGTTCAGAGGGAGATTATGGAATACCTGGCGGCGATGGTATGAAGGGCGAAAAAGGTTTAGTTGGAGCCCCTGGGCCCAGAGTAAGATATCTATTAAGGAGTTTAGAGTAGCGTTAATTGAATGTTTTTTTAGGGTCGTGATGGTTTCTCTGGTCCACCTGGTCCACCTGGACAAAAAGGGGATAGAGGTGTCGAAGGACTACCAGGATTACCAGGGAGACCAGGTTTGAAAGGAGAGCCGGGACTTGACGGTACTCGTGGCTTGCCCGGTCTTACTGGACCCCCTGGGCCGCCGGGTGGAGGCAAAGGCACGCCAGGTCCGCCAGGTCCACAAGGTCCTAGGGGATTTCCTGGACCAGTGGGTCCAAAAGGAATGGATGGATTTCCGGGGAACCCAGGGCCTCGAGGTCCTCAGGGTCCCATAGGTGGTCCTGGCATTCCTGGTCAACCTGGTAATGAAGGTCCTCCAGGCGACAAGGGCGAGAAAGGCGAATCTGGTTCAATAGGATTTCCGGGTGGGGAAGGTCCACGAGGATTTCCGGGACCGCAAGGTCCGCAAGGTCCTCGAGGTTTAGCTGGAGAGAAAGGATTATCCATAATGGTAAATAATAATTCAATAAATTATACAATTGGTATTTATACACTATAGAAAAACTTAAAACTGGGATTTAATTTAGGGGCTTAAAGGTGACGATGGATATCCTGGTCGAGACGGACAAAAAGGTCAAAAAGGAGAAAAAGGTTTTCAAGGTCCACGAGGCATACCCGGCGATTCTTTGAACGGAATTCCTGGAGAGCTGGGATACCCGGGTGCACCGGGGGAGAAAGGCAATCCTGGTCGACCAGGTTTACATGGCAGTCCCGGACAACCTGGTTCAAAAGGAGATAAGGGTGGCACATGTATTGATTGTCTTCCTGGCGTGAAAGGTGATAAAGGAGATAGAGGTTACGACGGCAGAGATGGAGATAATGGACCGAGGGGACCTCCTGGCGCTCCTGGTTTTATGGGCGCGCCAGGTCCAGACGGGTTACCGGGTCGCCAAGGTCCGCCAGGAATTCCAGTATGTTATATAGTCACTTTCATCGCATTTTTGTTATATGTAATAAAAACTTATTTTAGGGCAAAGATGGAAATGACGGCCCCATTGGTCCACAGGGGAATCCTGGTATTCCCGCTGTCATATCTGAAAACTTAGTAAAAGGCGAAAAAGGTGACAAAGGAGATCGTGGGCTTGAAGGAAGACCTGGTCCTAAAGGATTTCCGGGACCGATTGGTCTTAAAGGTGATAAAGGAATGCCAGGATTTCCTGGAGAAAAAGGAGAGAGAGGGTTTCCCGGTCAACCTGGTCCTGCAGGTCTAAATGGAAGAGATGGAATACCGGGACAAAAAGGTCAAAAAGGGGACAGCATTAAAGGAGAACCAGGGTTTCCAGGTCTTGTAGGTGATAGAGGAGAAAAGGGAGAACAGGGAGACCGGGGCATTGCTGGAGTAGATGGAGTCTGTCCCGCTAATATTGTGGCCCAATTAAAAGGAAATCAAGGACCTATGGGATTAAGGGGTGAACCGGGACCTCCAGGGAAAGACGGTGAAAGAGGCGAAAAAGGAGATCAAGGTCGACCAGGATCTAGAGGACCTGTGGGATTACAAGGACCACCAGGACCAGTGGGACGACGCGGTCTACCTGGTCCCAGAGGAGACAAGGGGGACCGAGGTCCCTTAGGATTTCCTGGAGAACCAGGTCGAGACGGACAAAGAGGTTTGCCTGGGTTGAACGGTCCTAAAGGTTTAAAAGGAGAAGCTGGGATACCGCAAGTTGGTCCTCCTGGAATTCCGGGACCATTAGGAATTAAAGGCGAGAAAGGTCTTCCAGGGTTTCCTGGAAAACCAGGGCCGCGCGGAAATGATGGATTACCTGGCTTAATTGGAGAAAAGGGAGATACAGGTGAGCCAGGTTTAAACGGTTTGCCTGGTCCTTCGGGAGAAAAAGGTGAACCTGGTCCATTGGGGCCCCAAGGCACTCCGGGTGTTCCAGGCCCACGAGGACCAGCTGGACCCAAAGGGCAAGCTGGTTTAAAGGGAGAACAAGGAAAAGCCGGTATGCCCGGATTTCCGGGTCTTAAAGGTGATAAAGGCGACATCGGACTCCCAGGTCCTGTAGGAATGAAAGGCGCATTGGGTCGCCCAGGATCAACAGGTTTGCCTGGAATGGATGGTAGGCCTGGCTTAAAAGGTGATCGAGGGGACAAAGGTTATCCAGGTCCTTCGGGACCACCAGGTTTGGTTGGCATGCCTGGGCAAGTTGGATACCCAGGAGAAAAGGGAGATACAGGTCCTTATGGTCCTCCAGGTCTCCCTGGACCTCCGGGAAACCTTGGGCTAAAGGGAGATGCTGGACTTCCTGGAATTCCTGGAAGAAAAGGTGAACCTGGTGAAGCATCCGAAAAGGGACAAAAAGGAGAACCGGGGTTATTTGGTTTACGGGGTCCCGAAGGACGCGAAGGGCCAATGGGTCCACCAGGCCAAAAAGGAGATGTTGGGCTACCTGGGCAAAGTATAAGGGGACTACCGGGGTCAAAAGGTGATCGCGGAGATCGTGGCATAGACGGAATACCAGGAACACCCGGTCAAAAGGGAGATAGAGGCTTGCCTGGATTTATCGGAAACAAAGGCGAAAGAGGATTCCCGGGGGAAAGTGGGCAACCAGGAATGGATGGTAAAGATGGCGCGCTGGGGTTGAAAGGAGAAAGAGGATTTCCTGGTGCTCCCGGACTTGATGGTGAAAAGGGGGACAAAGGATCGCCAGGTATAAATGGATTTGATGGAACGCCAGGACCAAAAGGTTCTCCAGGACCTATAGGATTAATAGGACTTCCGGGAGAGAAAGGCGATTTTGGAGAAAGGGGTCCCCCTGGACCTTTCGTACCGGTTAAAGGTGAAAAAGGTGAACCTGGTCCGCCCGGAATTAGTGGGCGACCAGGCGAGAAAGGCAATATTGGATACCCAGGGCCCGTTGGAGCTCCAGGTGAGAAAGGCGATATTGGGTTCCCAGGAATAAAAGGAGACAGAGGTTGGCCTGGTCCGGAAGGAAGAAAAGGTAAACATCGATTTTTTAGTGACCAATTTTTAATAATTGACAACATTGTTTCAGGTGATAGAGGTATAACAGGGCTCCCAGGTTTGCCTGGATCAACCGTAAAAGGAGAGAAAGGTTTACCAGGCTTGCCGGGTAAAAATGGTAGAGACGGGTCCCCTGGTATACAAGGAGAAAAGGGAGAACGAGGACTTGCAGGCCTTCCAGGCAGAACGGGACCTGTCGGACCACCAGGTCCGCTTGGTCCGCAAGGACCTAAAGGTGATAGAGGATTTGATGGACGTCCAGGGCCTCCTGGTTTGGAAGGACCTCCAGGAAGACCTGGCATAGACGGACTTCCAGGACCGCTAGGCGAAAAAGGCGACAGGGGACCACCGGGATTACTAGGAGCTCCTGGAGAAAAAGGAGATAGAGGTCTGACTGGTATACCAGGCCGGCCAGGAGAAAAGGGCGATAAGGGCGATAGAGGTCGAGATGGAATTAATGGTAGGCCCGGTCCAATCGGTCCCGCTGGTTTCAAAGGCGAGCAAGGATTACAAGGAGAGATTGGTATTATTGGATTAGTCGGACAAAAGGGAGACAAGGGCATAGCTGGCTCACCTGGAGTTCCGGGATCAAAAGGAGATAGGGGACCGTCAGGGCCTCCCGGTCCTCCAGGCTTGGATGGAAAACCGGGTATTGATGGTCTTCCAGGTCCACAGGGGCCCATAGGGGATAAAGGAGATAGAGGATTCCCTGGACCAGCTGGATTAATTGGTCAACAAGGAGAGAAAGGAGATCGAGGATTTGATGGTGTTAACGGCCGCGATGGCTCGATCGGAGCTATTGGACAGAAGGGCGAACCAGGTGCACCATGCGAAACTGTGTCAGATTACCTAACTGGTACTCTGTTAGTGCGTCATAGTCAAAGCCGCGAAGTACCCCAGTGCGAGAGAGGTCATACTAAATTATGGGAAGGATATTCTCTGCTTTATGTTTCTGGTAAGTTCTTTCTTAACAAGTGGAAAATATTTGTGTAAAGTGTAAGCAAGTTTTATGCATGATATATTTAATTCTGTTAATTAGATAAAAGTCTAAGCGTTTCATATTAGTATATTGTGCAACAAGTGTGGTAAACGCCATGTGAGTTACGAGTTTATTTGGCACAAGCGGAGTAAAGGCGAGTTTACTAAAAATGTTGCATTCTGCGGCCATTATTTTTCGGTACATTTTTTCAAAAACAACAGGAATACATATTAGTCATAGATTTTACGGCTAGGAGGCTAAACAAACAAATTAAATTGTTTTGGAAGAGTTGGCTTATTAAGGTATAAGGAAGGTGGAATGTAGCAAATGCACTACAAATAAAACTTGCACACACATATTTTATGACATTTCAACCTACTGTTTTAACATGGCAATGGCAAAAATGTGCTGCTATTTCACTTAAATTTAACTAAAAATTTGAGATTTTACAAAACTTGACCTTTTTCGCTCTGTTGATGTTGCCGTGGTTGAATTCCTTAAATCTGCAATATAGGAAACTAATAAAAAATCTTTAAAGACTTTCGAAAAATGCTTCAGTTTAAATAGTCCTGCTTGTAGCACTAATTGGTTTCGTACGATATTAAAGACACCTGATGCGTCATAGAACTGCATCTAATTAAAAAAAAGATATACCGTTTAGATTCTGCTGTGACATAGCTATCGGAAATAATTGAATTGGGTTTGATATTTATTAGTAACATTCCAATAATGCAATAATTACAATATCTTGAGGATTAAAGATGAAAATTATAAAATATATTTTAGGGAAAACAATATGATATTCTCTTTTCCCCCCTTCCCCACAGGCCGAACTGAAGCGACTTACCTCTGAATAAAATTGCATTTTATATATTACGTGTATTATTTTAGGCAACGAAAAACCACATAGTCAAGATTTGGGTATGGCCGGTTCGTGTATCCGTAGATTCTCGACGATGCCTTTTGTATTCTGTGACATAGACAACGTTTGCAATTACGCCAGTCGTAACGACAAATCCTACTGGCTGTCCACCAGCGCACCGATACCTATGATGCCAGTCGAGGAAAATTTAATTCAAGATTACATCTCAAGGTGTGTCGTCTGTGAAACTCCAGCTAACGTCATAGCAGTCCACAGCCAATCGCTGTCTCTGCCAGATTGTCCAGACGGATGGTCGTCTTTGTGGATCGGCTACAGCTTTGTTATGGTACAATCGCCTCAGGTTTCCAATTCAATACACTGATCGATTCCTCGATATTTTTTCAGCATACGGGAGCTGGCGCCAACGGCGGAGGTCAATCACTTTCGAGTCCCGGTTCCTGTTTGGAAGACTTTAGGTCATCTCCATTTATCGAATGCAATGGGGCACAGGGACATTGCCACTATTTTTCGAACATGCTCAGTTTCTGGCTGGCCACTATCGAATCGAATCAGCAATTCCAGAAACCTCAAAAACAGACCCTCAAAGCTGGCAATATACGTGACAGAGTAAGCAGGTGCCAAGTGTGCATTAAGAACACGTAATGACCTGTCTCGATAGGACGGTTTGTGCGTAAAATACTGTGTATACATTTTGCGCGGTATCATTTTCAATGAAAATCCACGCGCATAGATTATCACTTTTCGCATGACGTGTTCATACCAATCAGTGTTCCTTTCACTTCGAGCGCTTGGTCGTCTGTTGTGATAGAATTTACGTGTCGGATGGTCAAGTGCTCGTTCGCTATAGAGTGCTTAAAATTGTGTAAAAAGCTTTTAACCTCATAATTGATACTGCCGTGCCATGTCTTAAACATAATGTAAAGAGTTTTTGTATAATAATTAATATTTTAAGATGTATGTATGTATAAATCTAAGTAAGTTACTGTTATCGGCATACTACCGCTATCTATTTGTTACTTTAATCCAGTTTACGCAATTTTTCTAGAGATCAATGTAATTTTTTGTTAATCTGGGCTTTAGAATGTATTAAACCAATCTAATTGGGAGCAATGCAATATGTTTCGAGCAGCGTCGGTGCTATAGTGTATCTTTAAGTTTACTGAATATTTTTTTGGCTTCTCTTTTAGCCCTTACATTCCCTTCAGTCAAGGTAAAAAAAGGTTCTATTTACTCTAGTCAAAACTATGTTTGAATAGGTAAAAGTGTTGGAACATTACTGTTTTAATTGTCGCAGTTACTTGAAGCGCCCTGACATTTTAAAACACTGCCATTTATAATATTTATAAAAATAACTTGAGAAATTAACGTCGCGTGTTTTATTTGTTACCTCTTCCTTTATAAAAATGAGGGCCGGGCTCTCTGACAAAGTAAGTAAGATGCATTTCGTTGCACATTTAAAATACTGGAGGCCATTGGCCAATAAGTAAGTAGATTGGAACATCAGATAGTTAATACATAGTGTATAGAAAAATTGGTACAAATTGTACGATTTTTAATATTTAAAAAATCGCCTGTAAATGATATATACAAAAATCGAAAATCATGGGTAAATTTTAACAAGTTACTCAGAATTTTGTATACTTTAAATTTTCTAAAATATGATTATGTTTATACACAAATTTTTGAAAGGTTCTCCTTATTAGCTCTTCAGAACCTTTTATAGGACACTCAATGTGAATTGTGCTGTTCATACAGACAAGTAACATGAAAATTGTATTTTTTTACTCCCTACTTTAAAATATCGAATTATGCACTAATCAAACGCGGGTAAGGTGTGATTTTAACCGTCAACTTCACACTAGTTGTGCTGAGCAAATTGGTAGTAGTAAAGGGTTGCTAGCGAACATATATAGCTAAAATATTATTCTCTATATATATTAACCTCTTCTTAGAAAAAAGCGTGGAGAAGTAGATACAGTATTTTATAAGTATAATAGCAATTTTAAATATTTTCATTTCAATTAATTTATTTAAATTATTGGGCCAATTGGGGCACTATTTACTTACAACTTGTCTGTCTCCAACTTTTAGGTGAGGTTGCTGCCATCTGTTGACCAAACTACGAAACTGATGGTCTACTGAATTCTGCTCTTGTTTCCACATCAGTTACTCAGACTGCCACCGATGCCACCACTAATTCTTTTGACTATGAAATTTTGAAATGTTTAATTGAAAGCATTATAGTTTATATATATATATATATATATATATATATATATATATATATATATATATATATATATATATATATATATATATATATATATATATATATATATATATATATATATATATATATATATATATATATATATATATATATATATATATATATATATATATATATATATATATATATATATATATATATATATATATATATATATATATATATATATATATATATATATATATATATATATATATATATATATATATATATATATATATATATATATATATATATATATATATATATATATATGCCTTGTCAGAATGCATTAACGCCCTCTCTAATATACAGCCTATATGCCTATATATTTGGCTAGTTATATGGATCGCTTCATGGCTTCAATAATATAAAAAGTTAGCATGCCAGTAGTGCTGAGTTAAATATTCCACGCTGTAGTATACATATTATTTACTTTCTTGCATGCTTTTTGGGATGTAGAACCCTTGTTGTTGTAAGTAATTTTTAATAATCTGTTGCGTTGCGATTTTTTTAAAAAGGATTGTTAAAGATTTTCTTCGAATTATTTGTAAGCAATTGTTTGTATGATTTTAAAACAAGGAACAAGAATAATTTATTTAAAGATTCCTACAATTTTACTTCTAATTTTTGTATATTTCCATCTCGTATATTATTCAGAATGGCCGGATTGCAGACGCGTGACTCGTTTTTCACAAATACAGTCAGCAAAAGTTGGACCAAAAACTACCTATCTCAACTGAATACCTTTCGAATGAGTATCCGCTATCGATTGCTTTCGACTTTGATATAGCTTGTACAGGACAATGTGGTAAAAATAGTTAGGCAATAGTAATTACAAGCGTTACAGATAGGTCAACCGCTTCTGCCGTTTTTAAAAATAAACCTTTTTTCTGTTTATTGAATATTACTGTTAATCAACTAGAAAATATAGATTGCTGAAACATCCAACAAGAATATTGTTTATTTACTAAATATTAATAATGTCACATATATTGTATATTAGTTATTACCAAAGCGCTATAACATCCCGAAAAATTCAGGTTACATAAAAATAAAATTTATTCGTGAAGTAAGATACACACTTCCTAATCGGCAATGTTACGCAAGGTTGCGGCTGGTCGACAAATATTATGCCCATAATAACAATAATCTCGAAAGCAACGTCCCACCTGCTGGATCCAACACTGTTAAGGTATAACGCGTCCTCTGCTTTAAAATAAGAATTTTGCATTCTTGAACCGGCAGAAAACGGATTGCATTCTTGAACCGGCAGAAAACGGATACAAAAGTTTACTAAAAAGGAAAATTAATTCGACGGGTATATAATATACGTTCTAGCAATAAGAGTTTTTTCCTCATAAATTACCTTAAATTATGTACGAAATTGCCACCGATGATGCCGCGTTGAAAAATTAATTTTTTTAAAATGAAGAATGGCACCTTGTTCAAAGAAAGTTGACGCGAAATTACTTCCATTATTTTATTACGCGAAATTGAATTTTGACGCCTCAGGGTCTGCGATTAATTTGCGAGCGGAGAAATAGGTTAAAGTTTGAAAATCTTTCGGGGTAATCAATCTTCGAGTAATTTTCATACGCGCGGTTACCGTTAAGTTTATGTATCGGCCACATTAGCTTACAATTATTTGGCAGAGCTTTCGAGGGAAAGTGATGGACCCGTTATTAAAATGCACTTACTCTTGGGTGCGAAAATCGCATTAAAAACGACCGCTTCTGGTTTCGTACAAGCTTTCCGACCGTCATTAATTTTGACTCGACCCGTCAGCTAATATACCGAGTAATCCAGTTTGTTAATTAGAGAATATCCGAAGAAGTTTATCACTGAGTGACGTCAGAACTAATAAACTTTATAGTATCACCAGTGTTTCAAATCTACCGGAATCATCTGATCGCACTCAATGTAAAGTAAAGGAAACGATCAACACAGGATCCCCACAATATGTTTAATGAAGCTGACGTTTTAAACAAACAAATCGTCAATCTAACATTTTTTATTAAAACAATATCAAAGAAGTCTGCGCATGAAAATTTTTTGTAGGAACATGAGTAGATTAAGATAATACAATTTATGTCAACATGATGAACAAATCATATTTACATGACGACAAATAGGTGTATTAAAACCACTTGATTAAATTATTAAGTAGGGTTATTTAAAAGGAAAAAAAAGTGTTACGATCAAGCATAAGCTGGAAATCTATCCGACAATGTTAACTGATTTTCAATGTACCGAATCATGTAAAACCGATTGTATCTGGCCCGCTTCTATAAATATTTTACATTAGGTGAAAGTTACCATACCTATTTTGGGAACGACTTTTTATAATTAAATTATTTCTGCCCTCATAAAAATTATTAAAAATTGACATTATTATTTTATGTGTTTTATAATGTAAAGTTTAGCATTTTTATGTTGCCAACAATATCAAAATGCAGCCCAAAAACTTCTTCAAGCTATGGTATAAATGTTTCAAAAATATTAATCCAATCAGTTTAAAATGTTATTAATGGGTTTTACAATGTTTTGGTCGTCTCTGTCGGTGTCGTGTCAGGCGGGTAGATTTCTGTGGTACGAGTATTTTAAATGATTCATTCATTTTTATACCTGAATCCATAAACGTAAACCGCACTTTGGCACAAGTTTTAATATAGTGGCGCCAAGGGCAATCGTCTTTTGGAGACCGAAATCTTTGATTTTGCGCCCCAACGAAAAATCTCACACCAAGTGTTACAGCCACTACGTGCTTCGGAATAAATTAACGCGCAGTTCCCTCTGTTTGTACCGTCTCGGACCTTCTAATTACATTTAACAACTATCCGAGTAAATTTATGTTTACTTTATGGCGTCATCATTTTCCTTAAAGTAAATAAGGAAATAAATATTGAGAGGTTTACAACGGCCAACTTGAAGCTGATCACGCAATTTAGGTGTCTGGTTTCGCATTTTAATCGCCCGTTGAACCTTATTCGATTTTTTTGGTGACAATTATTCGAATGTTTATTTTTAACAACTGATTATTTCGTCTATATAAATATAAATGCTTTATAACGTGGACGAGATAAAAGTTGCAATCAATAAACGTATTTGCACCATAAGCTTCTATTAAGTTTGGAAGTTATATTTGTATTAAATCGTAAAACACAAAATCGCCAACAATATCGTGCGTTTTAACTATTTTATTTACATTGAATCTAATAAATTAATTATAATTCTCAACTCTGATTTTTTTTAAACAAATTAAATAGATGAGTGAAATACAAAAACTATTCATTATGTTTCTGTTATCAACAATAGCATTTTTTTTGCAAGTTTAACATGTTCTTCAAAATAATTGGTAGGAATTTGAAATGAATCGATTTAAGGAAAATTTAAGAAATATAATGGAGAAAAAAATTTACAATACTAAGTAAACCCTTCTGTAGTTTTTCGTGAAACTCCAAGTAGCCTCTTTTAGTTACTTCTCGGAACTGTACGGTTCGCTGAATCTTGAAATTATGTGATAATAATAAATTATGTATACTGGCAAATAGGGAAGATATGCTGATTTATAAAGTGGTAAGTAAATATGTAGTGCAATTTCAGTAGAGTAGTGTAGTACAATAGACTTTTATTCACTAATATTAGAAAAAAAAGTTTCTTCAGAAAAATAGATAAAAAATATATAATATGAGGGAGAGAAACGTGGAGTCTTATTTCCATTTGTGTGGTTCTACTGATAATCGATAAATTAACGTAATTTCCAAAAAAATTGTTTAAAATGAATAATCCCGTTTGTTGAAATTTTTAAAATTGCAAAACAAGAAAATGAAAAACATGTTAGTATTATTATAGATTAGTATTAGTCTCCCGTACGAAATTTTGCATAAATAATGTAAACTCATGTTTATGTTTTGAATATGCGTATTTTGTATATGCCTACAAAATAGAAGATAATCATAGAAGGAATGAGCGCATTGTAAAACCGTTCTAAACTTTGTTTCAAAATAATAGTAGGCAATTCGTACTTACTACGGTGAAGCGTTTATTATCGGGTGATACCTTATATCAAAATCCGTTAAGAATAT